GAAGGTTTGGTTTCTTATGATGGTTCTGGAAGGAGCAGATCGAAATCTAAATTCAGTAATCAAATTTGTAACTTCTGCAAGAAGAAGGGGTACTTGAAGAATGATTATTACAAATTGCATAATAAAGAAAAGATAGCTGCAAGTAGATATTTAGATACTTCAGGCGAAGCATACCTCGTGGAGAATATTGTAAGTGATGGAGAGCTCTTAGCTATTTCTGATGTCGAATCTAAATCAGATGATGATTGGATTCTGGATTCAGCGTGTGTATTTCATATGTGTCCTAATAAAGAGTTGTTTACTACATATGAAACTGTTTTCAAAGATGTCGTGGTTATGGAAAACAACACACATTGTCGGGTTGTTGGAATTGGTACGGTCAGATTGAAACTTTTGGATGGAACAATTAGAACACTTGGCCATGTTCGATATGTTCCAGATTTGAAGAAGAATCTCATATCTTTGTCTATCCTTAATTCAAAAGGTTATGAGTTCTTTGGTGGAATTGGAACTTTGAAGGTTTGTAAGGGTGCCCGGTTATATTGGACGGACAACAAAGGTCTCAGTTATACATCTTGTAGGGTCATGCAAAATTTGAAAGAGTCAATCAGCACATGTTCAGTACCGTGATGGACATTCAGTTTGGTACAATACCTTTAAGAGCTCAAAAAGGGTCAAATTTGAAGAATACAGCTTAGTGGAGTTTTGAAGACATGGATAATGCCGCTTTGCCACCATCACCTTCGGTGCCATTATATTCAGTTGCTAAAGTTAGACCCAGTGGAACAAGGTATGTGAATGTTGAGTTTGTTGATCATGCTTTAAGTGAAGAAAAATGTGTTCAATCCAGCAAGGAGCCTTCTTTAGAAGCATTTGGTAATGATTCTACTCTGGGGTGTGTTATAGCCCATTTTGGTAAATTATAAAATCATTATGATTTTTTGGAATCTGAGGTAATTCTACAGGGTAGTGCTTGGATTCATTGGGAGATGTGGAGTATTTTGTGTTTGGTTGGAGAAATTAATTTTTTGGTTATTGTTGAAGAAATCAGTTCATTCCTTGGTGGAATTCGTGTCAATGTGGAGATTGTTAGAATTTGGATGTGACCCGAATTCCTTGTTGAAATTGAAGAATTCTAATTAAAGTACACGTCATGAAGAATTCAAATTTGAAATATTATTGGAATTCTATGTCATTTTAAAGTTATATTTTGGAAGTCCATTGAGAGTTGAAATTTGTTTTGGATTCAATTTTATGGTAACCTACTTCATCAACAACTCTATTAGGTAGGTTTGGACATCCCCTACTTATTCCCTATAAATATTATGATCTTCTATACAATTTTATAAGGGAACAATACATAAATCCTATAAATAAGAATTACATTTCAAAAATAACAAACTTCAAAAATCTTTTCAAAAATCAGGTGTTAAATCAATTAATTAAATATTTTTAATTATAATATAATACAATTA